GCTCGATCCCAGGACCCTGAGATCATGACCTGAGCCGAAGGCAGACGCTTAACGACTGAGCCACCCAGGTGCCCCAAGCCTCCAACTCTTGATTTTGGCTCAGGTCATGATCTTAGGGTTGTGAGATCAAGCCCAGTGTCGGTCTCTGCGCTCAGCACAGAGTCTGCTTGGGTTTCTCTCTCCCTCTTCCTCTGCCCCTCCCACCTATAAATAAACAAGATCTTTAAAAAAATTTTTTAAAAATTGAATTGCATTCCTGACAATGTCTTTTGAGGGCTAATCTAAAACGCACAGAAGTCTTATCAGGGTCTCAATTATAGAAGTGGACAAATTGGATGTAAATGTTTTAAGTACAGTTCACCCTAGAACAAAACAGGTTTGAACTGTTTGGGTCCATTTATATGTAGATTTTTAAGATAAATACAGTACAATATGGTAAATGTATTTTCTCTTCCTTATGATTTTAACATTTTCTTTTCTCTAGCTTGCTTTATTGTAAAAATACAGTATATAAAAATAAATAAAATCTTTAAAAAAAAATACAGTATATAATAATATCTATAACCATCAGAATATTTGTTAACTGATTATTTAGGTTATCAGTAAGGCTTCCAGTCAATAGTAGGCTATTAGTAGTTAAGTTTTTGGGGAGCCAAACCTTATACTTGGATTTTTGACTATGCAAGGGGTCAGCACCCCTAACCCTTGGTTTTGCAAGGGTCAGCTGTATATGAAAAGTGCAAGTTTCTTGTTTATTTATTCAAGCCTGGGATATTATGTAGTCCCTAAAATGATGTTTACGATGACATGTGGAAATGCTGATGGTATTGAGTAAAAAAAAGATGTTATATGACATTTAATATAATCTTATCTATGTATAAAGCTCTGTATCATAAGAGTATATAGAAAAAAACTAAGAGAAAAATGTCAATGTCAGTAGTTCTTTACTCTGAAAGGGCTACTTCGGGTGGTTTTTATGTTTATTTATATTTGTAAAAATGTTTTTCATATTTTTTTCCATGGCTCACCTCGTATTCAGAAAAACAAAACCTTAAGGTTCTTGTCAGAGCCACACTCAGCCCCTCCTCTGGGCAGGAGATCTCAGGGGCCCCTGGGCTTAAGCCTGAAGCTTACTTACAGGTGCTCCTCAGTGGGACTGACCACTTGTAACCTATCACCCCTGAGTTCTGTAGTCTGCTCTCAGGAACCGTACTTTACTGATTGTAAGTCAGAACACAGGTATTAATCCTTAAGCCCTTTTTGCTCTGATTTCTGGCTTCTTTCCCCTCACATCATTACTCATTTTGAGCTCTCCCAAAGAATTCTCTCCTATAAAGAGATTTTGACTTCAAACTCACAAGACAGAGGTATTTCCTAGGTTTTAGGAATTTATTTTCCTTTTCTGGTTGGTTGAAGAAAAGTCAGTCAACCTTCAGATTGACTTGAGAGCAGGATTTCAGAGCATATTTAAGTAGTCTTCTTAAGGGGCTTATAAATGAGAGTTGGGAAGGGAGGTTTGCGTGAATGCATTAACATGGGATCCCTTAGCTTGTTGCTTTGGAATGAATCTATTCATAGGCCTGGGTGTTTAGTATGACTTTTTAAGCCATGGATGAATGAGTAAGGAATGAATACAGGTCATGAACAAAAGAGGGAGCCCAACTTCCAGAGTCGGGTAGTTACAGTCTCGTGTGTAAGGTAAAACTTTAAACTTCCTTGCATTAATGTGATGCTTTGGGCAACCTGCAGTTGATTGTTTTATATTTTCAGGTGTCATTTATTGATTTCTCCGTGCTTCCGGGTACTCCATCAGGCAATGTGATATGTCTGGCAATTGATGTGATGCCTTCTTAAGGCTTCACATGGAGCCATGAAGAGAGGCAGAGGCCTCAAGTGGTTTTGGAGTCTCTGAGACTCTTGAGCCCTTTCCACTGGCTTCTAGTAGCTGTCTGTCAAAATACAATGCAAACAGCCCTGTCTAGTTTAGGACCTTCAGAGGATGAGACTCGATTAGGAGGAAGGCAGAAAGTGAGGGTTGTGAGAAATGTCTACATTTATCAGGCAGTGGTGGCAGAGAGCAAGGACCTGGCCGTGAACAGCACCAGGATAAAACATACTAACGGAGGACAGGGGCTCAAGGAGGAGGGCAGCCAGGAGTGTCATGCGTTGTAGAGCTCTCCCGTAGGTTCGGTTTAGAGGAAGCCATTGGATTTGGAAATAAGAGGTGGTCAGGGACCTTTTCAAGGCAATACCACAGCAGGCTCGTGGAGGTTGAAGGCAGATCCCAGCAAGCTGAAGCGTTCGGGAGGCAGGGAAGTTGGGTGGTGAAGGGAAGGCGAGAGATGGTGGTGTGGTTGTAGAGAAAAGCTTTGGAGGCATTGGTAATGCAGAGTGTGTTCAGAGGTTGAGGTCAAGGAGAGTGAAGAGAGATGGGGTAAAAGATGCAATAATGCCGAAATAACGTTCTAATAACGTTGAAAACTGGATCCAGAATGTGGGCGGAGGAATTAGCCATTTCATACCGGGAGAGAAGAAATGAAATAAAAATGGGTAAAGAAAGATGTTTTGAGTCTGACAGGAAGCCTGTGCCTGAGGGACTGAATGAAGTAGAAGATAGAATAACCTGGGAGGAGGCGGAGGGTGAGGGTGGGGCCTGGAGATGAGGAGTGAGGGTTTGCAAGCAGCTGCCGTGAGAGTGGGAAGGAGCATCCATAGCCTAGCTCCAGCTTCCTTTAGTAGTAGGTAATGCACATTACACTCACTCATTTCAACGGCTTCTAGAGATCCCCAAGATCAGACAGATTCATAAATATTTATTTATTGTACCCACAAAGTACTCCAGAGATCTTCTTACTTTCTCTTCAAAGCATCCCCTTGGTGATTATTCTTCATTCCTCTAATTGCACATAGAGAAAGCCTTAGTTAGATGCAACTAGTTTTTAGACCACTGAACACCTGCGGATCTTGTCGATGCATGTCTGAGCCCAGAACTCTGTAAGCGCCGGCTTGAAAGAGGAAGAGGCTGTGACTTTTCAAATAATGGAGCCTTGAATCAGTAATGTTTCTCAGGTTTCCAACCCTAGAAGGTACCCACTCATTCAGGTAATCATAAAACACAGTCACTTCCATTTGCTCCAGCAACTTTCAAAGCTTTTTGAATCTCCCCTTTAGCTCCTGGCACTGTGAGGAGGGCACAGGAAAAAGAGAACGTTGTGTGGAAACCTTATACTAAGTCGGGGGAGGTAGCCTCCCTATCCTCTTTCCCTCAATACAGTCATCGTTTTCCTTTATAATTCACTGAAGGTCTATAATGAGGATTAATTTGGCTCTTAGGAAATCAAGAATTGCTCCTAATACGGGCAAAAGGCTGCCCGTAATTTGAAACTCCCACAGTTCAGAGAAGGGGCAGGGGCTGTTCGTTTGCGTGCTCACAAGAAGAGTTGGCATTCTGGGGAGGACACTTTGGGCTCAACTTCTGGAGTGGTTGTGCAGGTCCTCAAACGGCTTCTCATGGGGGATGAGTGGGTGCAGGTGTGTGACTGAGATCCACTTCTGAGGGAACACGTCTCAGGTGGTCAGCAATTAAGACAGTATCACTGAGGGTCTAGAGAAAAAGACCTGTTTTAACAGATTTCAGGGGACAGGCCGTCTGTTTCATTGACCAGGATTTTTTAATCTAAACATTGCTCGAGATCACAATCTCTATCTACAAGAGTCTGAGCCGAACAAGCCGTATCTGGTCCCTGAGTGGTGCATTAGCAAGTGCGGACAGTGCTTTGAATCCTAGAGGGAAAGACCTGTGCTTAGAGCTCTAACTTTTCATTTCCTAGGCCTTTACTCCTTTTTTATTTTGGTGGGTAAATCACGATTTGTGGATTTTCTCCCACCTTTGCGATGGAGGGTGGTAAACAGGACCTGAAGGGCAATTACCCCTTAAAATGAGGCAGAGGGTGGGAGCTGAACGCAGTCGGGTTCTTGAGTGAAAGGATGACTATTACACGGGCGAGAATGAGACCGTGCTGGCTGTACCAGATAATTAGCCTTAGCGCTTTAATCACAACTCCTACAACGGAGCTTGTATTGTATTGTGAATGATGTATTGGGTCATGAAAATGACTTTTCAGCTCGCAACTCTTCTTTGTAACTTACCTCTAATTGGAGACTAAAATTTTCCACCGACTCACCCCACTTATCTACTAACGCCAGTCGCTCCGTATCAACACCTGAGACTGGCGTGCTGCCTCGGAAAGGCCAAATTCCTGGGAAGGCAGCTTGCAGGGAGAGCACTGTGCCCCCCTCAGGAGCACGGTGCATGGGGGCATGCTGGGCTAGAGTTCCCGGAACTCTTGGGGGAAATGTTGAAATTACTGGCAGGACCGTTGCTGTCGGTCTGACAATTCTCTCTCTACTCCGAGCAAGAATCTCTCACATGCCCTTCTGGTACCTGAAGGTCGTTCAGTTGACAAGGGATGAAAACTTAATAGCTGTGCTGGGCCTGGCCATTTGCTGAAAGCCTCAAACGCACCGTTTGTACAGGTCCCAAACGTCTCCTTTCCTGGGGTGTCCTGCCTTTGGGCTGCTCTCCCGCTGTTTGCACTGCAGCGGGGGTCATTACGATCCCTTCTGCCCTTTGGTGTAGTGATGAGACCCCACGCTCACGCTGCCCGTGCCTTGTGTGTGCCCCCCGCCCTCTCCAGACTGTCATCCCCTGTGCCAGCACTGTGCCGCTGATCTCCACCACACCGGCAGCGTCTGCCTGAGCTGCCAGAATGCCCGGTACCTGCTGCTGGGGGACCACTGTGTGCCTGATTGCCCTTCTGGATACTACACGGAGAGAGGAGCTTGTACAAGTGAGTAAGTGCCGGACGCAGGAGCTGGCGTGAGCTGTTCTCGGGGCCAGTAGCGGGAGAGAACTGGAACCTCCCCAGAGAGAGACAGGAGGCGGGAAGCACGCTGCGGGACAATAAACCAGCCTGGCTAACGCTCTCAGTTGGGGCTTTTATTAACGCCTCTCGGGCTGCTGCTTGGAAAAGGGGCTTGGCTACATAGGTTCTCTCTGTGTCTCTTTTCCCTCTGCAGAATGTCACTCCTCCTGCAGAACCTGCCAGGGCGTGGGACCCTTCTCCTGCACCTCGTGTGACGCCGACCTCGTTCTGTCCCACCTCGGCACCTGCAGCACCGCCTGCTTCCCGGGGCACTATCTCGATGATCGCCGTGCTTGTCAGCGTAGGTTTTTAAAAATGAACTTTCTCTCCTTTCCTGCTCTTCTGGAGTCATTGAAGGAAATATGAAGTTCTTGCTTCTATGTTCTCACTCGATAGCCTTTATTTTTATGAAAGAGAGTTAATCTACAAAGGCATATGGGTGCCGTTAGCAGACATCAGTCTAACTGGGAAGTGCTGGGCTCGGGGATCTCCTCTGCAAGTACCAGCTGTGTGATCTTAGGCCAGTCATTTAGCTTCTCCGTTCTCTGGTTATCTCATTTTAAAAATAAAAGTGTTGGCCTGTTTTGTCCTCAGCAATTCAATTCCAAGATCCTGAGCAGAGAGTGGAACTCGTTCTAGTAAACAATCAGTGACCTAAGCACTTGTCTGGATTTAATTTGTTTTCTGTATGTATTTGTTGAGTATTGACAATGCGCAAGGCTTGACATGCTACAAAGCGTTCGGTTTCTGTTCAGTCATTATTCTGTCTTGCATGAGAGTTACTTGTATAGATGTCTTATTTCTCAAATAAGTCAAAATGTGATTAATTACCTGTGTCAGGCACAAACAAAGAGGATAAATTAGGGAAAGGGCAAATCTGAGTAGAAAAGAAATTTAGGAAATCCTTCACAGATGAAGGAACATTTTTGAGATACGCTGAGGTGGCTTACTTTATTTCAATCACTGAAGTGTCATTTGCGAAAAAAACTTTGTTATACTTTTTCCTTTCGAAAATGACAGCTAACAAATAAATACAGTGCTGGTATTTCAAGTTTGTGTCCTAGGAAGAACCATATTGAAGGAATTATAGACTGGTGGTTAGGAAAGTGGGCTCTCGACTCGTCAAATCCTACCTGCCACTTACTAGCTTTTTGTGACCTTGAGCAAGTGAATTAACTGCTAGTCCTTGGTTTCTTTTTCTGTTAAAGGGATTATAATGGTATGGTACCTACACCTAATGTTCTTGCACTTAGTATGGACTCTCGCGGAGAATAAGCTTTCAGTATAGATTAGTTATTGTTGTTGTCATCGTCATCCAGAATGAGATGCAGATCAAGCACTTTAAGATATGTATATTTTATAGATAGATATTACTGTTAGTTTATTGAGATGCTTACAAAGATTTGCATTTGAAATGAATTTATGTGGAACTCATCATTTTGTATCACCCGTTGAGATACCAGAGATAAAAAACCCTTTTTGGACCCATTAAAAATTTCTTTGCTTTTATAACAAAAACATTGCTTAGTATATATCAACTGTCTACCAGTATCTGTAGATTCTCTAACACAAGAGACATGAATGAAACACTTGCATGTTCTGTTCAAGAGCAAGAGAGTGTTGGTGGAGAAATAGTGACTTAGATTTCTGAGGCTCTTCACAGCAGTGGAATCACAGAAATAAAAGTTCAAAAGAAAAAATAGAATCTTTTGTATGGCATAGAGATGACAAAAAAATGTTGCATTGAAATATTTCTTTCTGAGAAGCCTTTGCCATAGTGCAAGGTGATCTCCGCACAAATGCATTTGTTATGCTACCACGTAAATAGGATTTCATAGACTATTTCAGTTAAATTAAGAATCGGTTAAATGAAGAATCTCCTAGCTTTAGTCCTTTGCTAAAGCTTAAGTTTCATTCTTTCGAAGATTGAATAAAGCACGCCCTTAAGTTGGGTTATTGATGTAAAAAAAAAATCCAACAATGTTCCTTTTTTTTTTTTTTTAAAGATTTATTTATTTGACACAGAGAGAGAGACAGCTAGAGAGGAAACACAAGCAGGGGGAGTGGGAGAGGGAGAAGCAGGCTTCCCGCCGAGCAGGGAGCCCGATGCGGGGCTCGATCCCAGGACCCTGGGATCATGACCTGAGCCGAAGGCAGACGCTTAAGGACTGAGCCACCCAAGCGCCCCAACAATGTTCCTTTCTAATGCTCATCATTATAAACAATTATAGGCCTCACAATTTTAGAAATGGTGCAGTAAAGCACTTTCAAGGAAATATAACCAGTATTAAGGGGAGGCATTAATAACCTTACTATAGAAGAAAGTAAGAGCTGGAGAACTGTCTGGATTCTGGCTACAGAAACCTTGAGAAGTTACATACTGAGCTCTAAAATTCAAGGATAATCAGTTGAGGCAAGCACTTTAAAAAAGAGATGATAAATGAGGTTCCCAGTGCTTAAAACCATGGTGCTTTAGAGGCAAGGAGGAGAACTCCAGGGTGGCCAGAGATGACCTTGTACCCGATTCAGAGATTCTTTCTCACTCCCCCTCAGACTTCTACAGATGAGGAAGGAAGCCAGGTCAATTCGAGGGGGTGGTAGCTGTTTAGTTGTTTGACGGTTCTTTCTCATGGGCCCTAGAACTCCCCTCTGGAGTGATACAGAGTAAGTCTCCTTCCTCATTCACTTGATTGCCTTCCAAAGTTTGAAATTAACTGTCATTTCCCACTTGCACTTTGCTGCTCAGGCAAAACTGAAGCCAATGGAGTATTTGAGCAGAAATGGATGACCCTGTCTCCGAGCTGCGGTAGAAAACAGGCCTATTTCAGAGGGAAGGTGGATTTCCTAAGCTGTTGGGTCCTTTCCTCCTTCATGAATGATGGTTCAAGTACATCTCTGCTTCCCTCGTTGGTTTCTGGTCCACTTACGACTATCTTCACTGTCCTCTTGGTAGTTTCTGGGGTCCGGGACCTCGGAGAACTGCACCTGGGACTCTAGATGTGATCATAGCAACATGACTAATACCGTGTGTGGTCTGAATATTCTAAGATGGAGAAAATGCTCCTTACCCACATGCCTTTGGAGATGGAAGCTGAGAACCCAAGGGGCTTTGGTATGTGTAGACCTGCTCTGACGAAGACAAGGTCATTTGTGGATTGCTTGGTGAGAGATGAGGAGTTCAATGAATGAGGAAGAAGGGTTCAGGTAGACATGGAGGGAGCTCCCTGCTCTCAGTGTGACGCTGCATCCCTCCAAATCTCCACATAGTCTTCTAACCTTTCACAGTGCTCGGCATGAATCTGTTTTGGAAGCCAGTATAGGGGCTGAGTTATACTTTGAGGTACCGAGGGGGAATGAAAGACTGCATGGAAGGACTCAAGAATAAGAAGGTACACAGATGCTTGAGGAAGTAAACTACAAGAAGCTCTCCGCTATCCAGACGGGGCATCATCCTGTCACTCTAAGATGAGGGATTGGCCTTTGGGCTTCATTTTGTAGCTGTTTGTCAAGTAGGGGGCTCCAGCTGACATTTAGGTTATATGAAGGCTCTTCAGTTTAAGATTGTGTTAGTTTCTTTAGTAACCATATCACACCTCTAATAAGCTTTTAATCAACTAAAGTTCTTAGATCATTTTTTATAGGAACTACTGTCTGAACAGGTCTCCGGTATCCTTTATTTGTGTAATGGGTTATGGAAAATAAATGCAGGACTTACAGTTTTGCTTATTTCATCAGATTACTTTTAGTTTATTGCTTCAACTAGCTAAAATTGAGTTTGAGTTGTTCTTTCAGCTGGTGAGATTAGACTGTGTGTATCCTATTAGGTTATGTGGCATATTTAAATATCATTAGCATGATTTCTTTGTTGTAATTAAAGCTATTAATAAAAATGTTGATCAAGTAAAAAGTGAAGACTTCATCATAATATTCGACTAAGGACATTTCTTTTACTAATTACAAAGGTTTACTGATAACTTTTTGAGGATGCATTTCAACCATTTTCAAATCCACCTACAACTCCTAGACCCCACTTCATTTTTGTATTCACAGGTTTATCTTTGAGATTTTTGTCAAATCCTTTGCCAAAATTAAGATACACCATGTGTAAAAATTCTAGCCAAAAAAAAGATGGAACTTTAATTACATTGAAGTTTCCAAAAATTAAAATATTCTTTTCTAATTATTCTCAAACCATCTGTTTGAAAATCCAGTCTAGAGTTTTTCTAGGATCTTTAATTACCAATCTACATATTCTAATGAATATTTTATATCAATGACATTTCTTGTAGGTGAAACAAGAGGACTTCCTTTTTATTTTTACCAGGAGGTAATTTTCCTGCACTGTGCCACGCACTTTGATATCCTCTAGATCTAGAACTCTAAAAATCTAGCTCATTCTCTGGATTTTTCCTCTGATATGTACTTAGAGAAAATTTCAGAATGAGGCAGAGATGTGTTTGAGTATGTATAATTACAATATCTGGTTTCTTTCATTTATGTGCAAGTGTTCATTGAACACCCATAACATGAAAGATAACTAGTTAGGTCCTGAACACTATTTCAAGGAACAGAACAAACCTGGTCTTTGCTTTCATGAAGCTTATAGCTTAAAGGATACAGAGGTTAAATAATCATTGTAATGAAAATTATTATGTATGGCATGAATGAAATGTCTGGGGTGCTGTAAGAGCAGTGACAGGGAGATTGTTCTAGACTGGAGATTGAAGAAGTCACTGAAGAATGAGTAAGAGTTAAAGACAAGAAACTTGGAGATTATATTGAGAGGATTCAAATATGTGTATTAAGATTTCTGGGCGGAAAGAATGGAGGGAATGATGGAGGAGTGTTATCTGCAGAAATGATGGCTGGAAATTTTCCGGGGTTGAAGAAAGATATGAGTTTATAGATGAAAGTGTCCTCAGAAACCTGAGCAGTATAAATTTTAAAAATCAGTCTTGTGGATACAAGGAAAATAGAATGCAAGGGAGTCAAACTTGGTAAGGGGAAACCAATTAGGAGGCTATGACAGTAGTCCAATAGGAATTGATGAGGGCTTGGATGTATTGGCATGTGAGGATATGGAGAGAAGCAAAAAATTCTGGGAATTATGTAAGAAAATTTGAATAAATAGGTTCCAATGAGTGATTGGATTAGGAATGAGAGATAGGGGGCCTATCAAGATAGCCTCCAAGGTTTCTAGCATGGACAGCTGAGGAGATGGAGAAATGCCAGTTGTTAAGTTAGGGAAGATGGAAGCATCTGGAATCCATGGACCAGATTTGGGGATCATCCTTGAATGCCTGAATTAAGTGGCTGTTGAGAATTACAACTGGGCGAATCAGTAAGCCAGGCCTCCTTAAAGTCCTTTGTGGCTTAAAATATGGGATTTCCTGAGCTTCACAGTAAAGTTGATGCCTAATTTTAATCTTGGCATCGCTCAAAAATCTGAATCTACATCATGAACAATTGGGCGCTTGATTCCTTGAGAAATCTTCCTTCCATGAGAAGTAAGGTTCAAATACATCTCTGGACTGTTATTCCAGAGATCTTGGAGTAAGTATAAATTCTGTTGCTGAATCACAGGGCAACTTGGATGTGGGATTTCCATTCTTGGGTTTATAATTTATCTTCTCTGGAAAATAAAATGATCCTTTTATTTTAGAAAATAAGAGTAACATTTTCTGTTTCTGTTGATCACAGGGGAGGGTTATGAGCCATAATTAAAGCACAGGTTGGAGCAGAGCTTTGCTCCTTTGTAGCATCTGTCTAGGTTTGATCAGCTTCAGTATTTGCAGTTGTAATTATCTGGTCATTTTCTCTTCCTATCTGCTCAGCATGTGAAGCGCATTGTGGAAGCTGTGATTCACAGGCCAGCTGTACCTCCTGCCGAGATCCAAACAAGGTCCTACTCTTTGGGGAATGTCAGTATGAGGGCTGTGCCCCACAGTACTATCTTGACTTCTCCACCAAGATATGCAAAGGTAAAGCTCTTCCAGAACTGTGCAATGATTCTTTTCCTCAGTGATCTCCCTTTACTGTAGGTGTCTAATCCCCCACGTTGAAAAATACCGTCATATGTTTAGATGATAGCAAGAAGGCATCATGTATTATGAATGCATGTATGTAATTTCTTTCTTTTTTTTTTGTATGTAATTTATTTCTTAAGGAAATTTTTTGAGCACCTACTATGTGCCAGATGTTGTGCAAGGTTTTAGTAACTAGACCAGAGGTGGCAAACTGGATGTATTTGGTCCAAGACATGGAGGGTTGTTTGTTTGTTTGGTTTTTTTTTGGCCCACCTAATGTTCTAGTGTTTTAAAATTTTAATTAATGCATTTTATTTTATTTTTTTTAAAGATTTTATTTATTTATTTGAGAGAGAGAGAGAGAGAGCACAAGAGGGGGGGAGGGTCAGAGGGAGAAGCAGACTCCCTGCTAAGCAGGGAGCCTGACGTGGGACTCGATCCCGGGACTCCAGGATCATTACCTGAGCCGAAGGTAGTCGCTTAACCAACTGAGCCAGCCAGGCACCCTAATTAATGCATTTTAAAATGTAGAAGACTTCATATACAAAAATTGAGATTTTTCTGTTTCTTTTGGAAAAAAATTGAGATTTTCTGTTTCTTTTGAAAAAGTCCGATGATCTGGGAATACTGGATATGCATTTCCATAATGCGACAGTCAGTTGGAGATGAGTAGCTGTTGTCCCTTTTGTGTCTTCAGATCACTACAGTCCCTGCCATTCCCTCGTCTATCACACCAGGCCTATTTCAGAGATTTACATTACCTTCCTTTACAACTCTATATTGCTAGACGCTAACCTTAATGAAGACAGGGTTCGGGGTGCTTGGATGGCTTGGTTAAGCGTCTGCATTCGGCTCAGGTCATGATCTCAGGGTCCTGGGATCGAGTCCTGCATTAGGCTCCCTGCTCAGCGGGGAGCCT